AATCAACTCAACCAGAACTTGCAAAAGTTTTGTAAGATATTTAATCTTTTGACCAAAATATTTCTGCTCCCACACCAAAAAATCCAAACTCCGAAACCACTTCAGAAGCTCCACAACCAGATATTCCACTCTCTCCACAACCAGAAATACCACTACCTCCATATCCTCAACCAGACATTCATCTACCATCTCCACAACCTGAACAACCACAACCAGAAGTTCAAACTTCTGAGAACCATCCAGCTGAAACCTGTGAACCAGAACCTCATAACGTTCAATCCAACCAATCTGAAGAACCCACTTCAGATTCAGATACAACTCCTATTCCAGGTATCACTGAACCTCTGGCCATCCGTATGCCCCTCACCATCCGGGACATCCCACTAATTCCTTCTTCTTTGGAATCAACTCCACCAAATTCCCCAACCAGTCTAATAATTATACCAGACTCTCCCACTCCCTCACCAAAGAGCAATCCAGATGACAACATTAAACTGGTCATTGATCTAACTGTTTTTGAACGTCTTACCGCCATCACTCACAAAACGGCCATTCCAAAACCAAAACCATTTGAACCCTCACCAGATGTTGGTACTAGTTTATTGACGTTTGAAACAGAAATGCAAAAATGGATAATCTCCTTGAAGCAAGCTAGTCTAGAGATGATTAACCCTGCTGCTTCAGATTATCTTTGGACAAGTTTCAGAAAATGGCTATGCTCTGAAACTCATAAGCTCCAAGAACAGAGCTATGATCAAGTTCAACAGAATTTCAGTAATCTGCTAAAGGTATTTGAAGACCAAGTTCTGAGCCAACTGCTCAAGGAAGAGATTCTCCCTCTGGACAATGCTCCCTGGTTAGAACATCGTCCATCAGACAAAGTTTAACCAGAGTCAGAAGGTCTCACTCTGATTGTTGCTCCAGTTGAGATGATTCCTGCAGAGGAATTGGTTCAAAAAGATCACGTTGCAGAATGCTCTGAGAAGCATCCAGTTACTGAAGATTCTCCAGCTTCCTCCTATGAAAGGCAAACTCTGGAAGAACTGAAGAGAGCGGATATTGTTATTCAGGAAAGGATGGATAAACAGGATGATACAATTCAGGAAATCAAAAGCATGTTAAGCAAACAAGAGGAAACCAACACCCAGATCAAGGGCTTGTTGGAAGTTTTGTTCACACGCCTTCCTCCTCCCTCTTAGATTTCTCTTTTAAAATCTGTTTATCTGTAATATTTATTCTACATTGCTGTTGTTCTGAACTTCTTATCATTGCTTCCTATTTTTAATGTAAATCCTTTTTAGCTCTGATTATATGTTCTTTTTGATAACTGACAAAAAGGGGGAGAAAGAATAAGATATTTTCAATAACAGTTTACTGAGACATAAGTCTCAAACATTCTGATCTACTTAATTTCTTTCTTCTGAAAAGCTTGAACAGGTAGAAAACTCTGATGAAAGATGCAGTTAAATTCTGATGCTCAAAGACTCATGGAATTAAAGGGAAGTAATCAACTCAGGGGGAGTTTTTCTTCTTAATTCTATACTTTTTATTCTTTATTCTTAATTGAAAAATCTGGTTTTTGTCATCATCAAAAAGGGGGAGATTGTTAGAACATAGTTTGATTCTACAACCCTTGATTAGAGTTTTGATGATAACAAAATACAAAGAATAAATAAATACAAAGAATATATACAAAGAACAAATATGCTCCTTAAAAATATGTTCTATGTATGCAGAAGTTCTGATGGGATCAGCATCAGAAGATAAGCAATAAAGTATTACACGCTGAAAGCAAAACAGGTTTTACGCTGAAGTTTGATGACCAGAATCTGCACCTAAACAAGTACACTCTGACTCTGAACAAAGACATCTCAACCAATTCATCAACACTCTAAAGCGTTATCAGCGGTTAAAGCAAAGAAGACAAAGCGTTATTAATTATTCAAGACAGAATTAAATGCCAACGGCTTTCTTCAGACAAGATCTTCTACAAAAGGAAAGTGTGTTATTAATATTAAACTTGCTTTATGGACAACGTCTCTGCCTTGCCTATATAAACAAGTCTGCTTGTGAAAGAAGCACGTACGTACGCACACATCAATTTGCAGAGAATTCTAAACCACGCATATTCAAGCTCTAGCAAATTTATTCTATTCTAAACTTAACCTGTGTAATTATCACAGTTGTGATATACTATTTTGTTAGAAAACAACAACACATTCTTGTTCAATTATTTGTAAAAGATTTCCTTGAGATTAACCGATTTGTGGTTGTACTCAAGAAGACTTTAACAGTTGTTAAAGTAGCTATTGTAATCCTTTGAGATTAGTGGATTAAGACCTCGTTGAAGAGAGGCAAAATCACCTTGACGGGTGGACTAGAGTAGTTTGAGATCAAACGAACCAGGATAAAAATACTGTGTCATTAAACTGTTTTGATCTAAAATTTTCAATTTAACCCCCCCTTCTTGTGTTTTTCACATCTTCAATTCGAGCGTCTGCGAAAGTTCAAACTGAGGTTGAATCCGAATAAATGTACATTTAGTGTCAGGTCAGACAAGTTATTGAATTTTATTGTTAGTCAGCGTGGTATTGAGGTAGATCCGATAAGGTAAAAGTCATACAAGAGATTTCAGCTCCAAGAGCAGAAAAAGAGGTTCATGATTTCTTAGGACGATTAAACTACATTTCAAGATTCATATTGCACCTAATCGCTATGTGTGAGCCTATATTCAAATTACTTCGAAAAAATCAGACGGTGGTGTGGAATGATAGCTGTCAAATAGCCTTCGAGACGATAAAGCAATATTTACATGAGCCACCAGTCTTGATGCCACCAGTTCCTAGAAGACCACTCATTATGTATTTAACAATGCTTGAAGAGTCAATGGAATGTGTATTGGAGCAACATGATGAAACAGGTAGAAAAGAGCATGCAATCTATTATCTCAGCAAGAAATTCACCGACTGCGAAACCAGATACTCACTTTTTGAGAAGATTTTTTGTGCTTTGGCTTGGACTACTAAACGATTGAGGCAGTATATATTGACTCACACCACGTAGTTAATAGAAAGAACGGATCCTATATGTTCGAAAAACCAGCTCTTACAAAAAGAATTACCCGATGACAAATGTTACTATCTGAATAAGACATCCAATATATTACTCAAATATTAATATAAATTTTTTAATATTTTAAATTTTTAAAACCCTCTAAAATTTGAAGTCTGTATTATAGAGTTTATTGCTCCTCCACAGGACAACAGAGATACTCTTACTTTACAGGTTAAGTTTATAAAAATCAGTTAGATTTTAAATTGTTAAGAACCTACTATCAAATTAAGTCATCTACTATTTATTCAACGCCTGTAACCAATAATGTTTGAGCATAGTTGTCAAAAAAATAAGTATTACATGACAAAACTCCATTAATTAGACACTTTACTTAATCTCTTATTTTTAAGTTCCTAATAAATGAGTTTTTTTTTTAATCTCATTTTTTATATCCCATAATATTATTTTCTAAGGGTCTAACTAGGGGACTTAAAACTTAACTTTTTAAAAAAAATTGTAAAGAACAAAAGACTATTTTTTTTCAAATTTTTAAAATAAATTATATAAAAATACTATTTAACAAAAATTATTGTTTTTAAAATATTTTTTCCAAAAAATAAATTTTCTAAAAACAGTTAATGTTTTCTTAATTTTTTTCATTCAGAAAATGAAAAATAGACACATTTCTCTGTAAAGATAAAAAATTATATTTTTTCCTAAAAACAAAAAAAAAACCTCAGAAAATGTTCTTAAAATTATAAAAGTTTTTAAAAACTTATATTGAGGGGCTTAAGGGTCTTTAATTTAAGAAACCTACTTATTTTAAACTCAACTATTTTTAAAATTTTAGAACCCTAAATTTGGGGGTCTAAAATTAAATCTTAAATTTTGAAAACCCCATATGGTGTTAGGTGTAAGGGCTTATATCGAAAGAAGAAAAAAACGTTTTCAATCGTATAGTGAAAAAAAAATTCTACGCAATTCTTAATATGTCTCTTAAAAATCAAAAATTCTAGTGGGCACTATAGACCACACACAAATAAATTAAATGTGATTTCACTTTATTCTAAAGGAGAAAACATAACTGGAAATATAAGTCCGATTATAAATCAGAAATTAAATTTCAATCTATATTTTATAAAATCTTGATTCGTTCATTATATTTCTGATTTCTATAAACATTTTTGTAACTTGGCATGATGGGTTAGAAAAGTCTAAGGTGGAAAAAAAAATCCTAAAAAAACACAGAATATGAACAACTCGGGTCATTTGGAGTTCACATTCAGGCACCTAAACAAGTAAACACCCCCACGTTTTCAATAGATGGTTAGCGAAACTTTCTTTACTCAACTAATTATGTCCAAGAGCCCCAAATAACCCTTGGTCGTCAACTAGCATAATCTCAAGTTAATAACAAACACACCAAGAAGAAGATAATTTAATTAACCCAAAAAAAAACTAAAAACGAACATAACAAAATGTCAAGTATAATATAAATAAATAAAAAATGTTTCAAACTAACTTGACCCTGGTCTGTACACAGAACTCTGCCCACAAGGCACCTGTAAGGGAAAATGCAAATCTTTTGAAGATATGCTAGCTGGCCAGTACCACTGATGAAAACATACATCAGAACCAACTCAAGACCTGTCTACAACACTAAAATACAGACATCTAAAAGAACCTCCAAGGCAACAATATCTGCTAAGTTTTACAATCTGGAAAAGATAAATATAACCCTATTCAACAAAACCATTGTTCTCAAAGGTAACAGACAATTTGCACCCGTCATCAACTACAGGTTATAAAACATTTACTATGTGCACATCTGATTATATAGTAAGAATCAGATTCCAATAGCAATGTGATGTGTAGAGATACAGCGGTTGTTCTAAGTCACCTTTGTTTGCCTCAGAGAGATGCTCTAGGACTCAGAATTAGGAATTCTATTGGCGCGAGATGGGGACCATAGGCATTGAGGAGGACGGATTGTAGTAGTTTCCATCAGAACCCTGAAAACCCTGATATGGATTCATTGGAGGTGTATAAGGTGATACATTGTTCATGGAAATCCCAACTCCAGGATAGGCTGCCATTGACGGCTGTTGAATCACGCCATAGCTATATGCCATATTGTTAACAGGCCCTACATTCTGCATGAACTGCGGCACAGGGTATTGTTGAGGCATTGGTGGCGGTGGGGGTAGTGGGGGAGGTGATGATGAGGGTGGAGGTGGTGGCTCATTTGGAGTAGATTGCTGGTTGGATGAAGATGCATAGTGTTGGGTAGGTTCAGAAAGCGAAAAGGGAGGAAGTGGTTGTTGAGGATTCTGAGATGGCACGTGAGATGGCACATAAGATGACCCATCATTCTCAAGCTTAGTCCTCTTATCAGAGTGATAATCAGTAGAAGACTCTGTCATCGGATTGCCTATGACACCTTCTGATGCTAAAGAGGATAGCACATAAGACAGCATTTGGACGGAGGATGTGGATGCAGTCAGCTTTGCTGCCACTGCAGCGGCTGCAGACTTGCGTGGATCTCCCTCACCGAGTCCAGAATTTTGAGGAAACATAATTTGTGGTGAGTACATTAATGGGGCTGATAGCTCTCTGTCGCCAGAAATAAAACTTGCAGGTGCCATGGAGCTCTGAATTTCCTTTGAGCTCTGTTCAACTAATGACTGAACATTGTTGTGGCTCAGTAATTGTTGGCAAGTATTGTTCGCATGTTCCCACTGAGCACTTGCAGCCTGAAATATTTTAAAAGACAAGTAGTCAAGCACTCAAATATATGAAAGAGACTTGTGCTGCATTAGGCCATAACGTTCCTAAATTTCACTTGAAGAGCAAACTTTTCCAAATTATCCCAATGCGTCTCTAAACAACACATATTTTTCTGTTCTCACCTACTTTTTTTCCTCAATTATCTGCTAGCCATTAAGAGATTTGATATACCTAAGTAACTTTCACACTAAAGGCATTCAATGCATATATAATGATGCATCAAAAGACTAGTATTGGTTAAAAATGCATTATAGTCATGTTCTACTATGTTATTAATTTTAAATGCATTACAATCAAATCTACTACCTTATCAAGATTGCCACATTTACTGGTTTCATATTGACGAAGTTCTAAATTATCCATCTGGTGGTTGGGAGCCATTTTCCAATAGATTAACTTAAAAGAAGCGTAAATATTAATTCTAAGGTACCCTTTTATGATGCACTTTTTCTAGTTTATGAGAAAAGCACTACAATTGTTTTAAACCAAAAAATTAGCTAATATTGACTAAAGATAAATAATAGAGTATTTTTAGTGTTCGCTTATTTATAAAAATATACAGAATAAGAGCAGCTATAACTAATCAACAAGGTTCCATACCTGGATCTGGCTACGAACTTGACCCAGCTTGAATTCCTGAGAACAAAAACATGTTAGAATAATATACAGTTTTAGGTAGTTCTGTAGTTTAGTAAATTGATTGTGTTTAAAAAGAACCTGATCCTGAAGAGCCTCTCTCAGATGAGACACAAGGCCAGCTCTTGATGATTCTAGTGTTGTTAACTGCTCAATGCAGTCCTTTAGTATGGCATTATGCCCCTGTAGGTCATTCACTACTGCAGATCCATGGAAGTTCCCTACACATAGATGATTGAGTCACATTAACAGGAAATGAATATAAAAACATTACTTACTTACCTTGACAACCCAAGCACGAAGAGCAAATATGAATTGTTGATTTAATAGTGAGTTAAGATCAGACAGTAATTTGAGCTAATGCTATCAATAACTAAACTAAAATGATTAAATCATGTAACTTTAATGACTTCGATGAATTCAGCCAATCACTAACAACAAAATGACTTGGTCCATGTAACTTCAATGGTTTTTGATAGAAAACAATGGTGTGGATTTGATTTTTCCTAGCTGCTCCTAGTTAGTAAAAACCAGAGAGAGCAGTAGTGCTGATTTTAAGAAATAGGAAGAGATTATACAGCACGAGTCATCTCATGACAGATTGACAACTCTGTTAAGAAATATGGCTGGGCCTAACTCAATCCTACAGAACCGGCTTGTAGGGTGAGGATTGTCCGCACTATTAAAGATATGTTCAGGCCATATATTGTCTGATGTGGGACTCTTAACACCCCTCACACCCAGGACTAGACAACTAGAGCATGGAAATAAATGGTGGGTGATCCGATAGCAGAAACCCTGATAACAGGTGGCCTACCGGATCTTAAACCAGGCTTTGATACCATGTTAAGAAATGTGGTTGAGCCTAACTCAACCCTACAAAACCGGCTTGTAGAATGAGTATTAAGTTAGACCCAACCACATTTCTTAACAAACTCATAGATAGGTTTACAAAATTATTTATGTGAGAAAGTTATTTTATTTATAAGCATGCTGCGTCTGACATGAGTTAGACTATTTCAATCAACACCAATTAACCTTTTGACATTTGGGTAGAACAGATACAATAGTAAAAGAAAGAAAACAATAAAACTAAATGGGTAATGTGAGCTATGTTTGCTTAATGCAGAGCACTTATGGATGAATCACAATTACTGCAATTAGAAAAACAATTACAATAATTAAATTTAACATACCTGAATTACTACCGTGAACTATTTCCTTATCTGCTTTCTCAAGAAAGCTAATGGCATTCCTGCATTTGCTTAATACAACATCTTCATCTGTCTGCCCTGCATAAATATGATGATAGCCCGAAACTATTTTATCCAACACATTTCCGGCAGATGGCCTCTGCAAAAGGAAAAATAAGTATATAAATATGTGAGATACAATCAGCACGCAGAGTATATATATGAATACAAATAAATACAGAAACATTACCAGTTTCACGTTCATAGGTTTCGCATTTGTAGGTTTCGCGTTCATAGGTTTCAAATCACGGTTATTGTTTTCCGCATGCTTCCCAATAAATTCTTCCTTAAGACTTTGACCACGAGAACCAAAAACTTTTCTTTCTTCCCATATACCAATCTGCAAAAAGGAGAAAGAGATGATACATTCAATGAAATTTCATCAATGCCAATATTTAATATTTCGCATGATTTATTGTACTCTAAACATTTAGTCAAAGCCCGTAGTGTTTTCCATGAAATTTGATTAGTCTTTGATAGACATAATTTTTGCTATCGTTACGAAGTATATTTCTTATATCTCTAGGTGATGTGGGATTAAACCTGCCACTTTAACCCATCACACTAAGATTGCTAGAGAAAAACATATGTTGGAATTTCCAAATCCATTGCGGTCGGCCCCTAGCCGCCTAATTGTGGCATTTGGCTTGCCTTTGTTGCAACATCCAACACCTTCATTGTGTTGGGTCTGAAGGGGTGGATTTAGTCCCAGATTGCTTAGACATCGAGCTTCAAACTCTAATTCTAATATGGTATTAGAGTCTATTGATCGGACCATGGAGCACCTACTGTTTATATCCGCACACCAAAGCCCAATAGTGTTGAGCGTGAGGGAGTGTATTGGGAAGATCCCAAGTCCCACATTGGTTAGAGATAGAGCTTGAAAAAAAGTTTATATCGAGTGACCTCTCACCTTACAAGCCAGTTTTGTAGGGATGATCCCAAGTCCCACATTGGTTGAGATAGAGTTTGAAAAACGTTTATATAGAGTGATACTCCCAGTTTTATAGGGATGAGTTAGGTCAAACTCTAATTCTAATAGTATACAAACTACAAGTTCCTTTGTGGTTTGAAGCAAGCAAGAAAGGCAAAGTTGGATTCAGGAGTAGTTACAAACTACTCGATATTTGAAATAAATTGATTGCAGTTTGCATCTTTAGTCTGCTTTATGTTGATTACATGAGTTAAGTAAATTGTCCACCTTGTCTTGCAACAGTGACTGGAAACCAGTCTGCTTTTGAGACCACCATGAGACCAAGTTGGGACAAAGAAAGATGGAAGCACCAGAAGTGACCAAGTTGGGACAAAGAAAGATGGAAGCACCTTCTGTGTCAGGGATTTGCTGCCCAACTATCATCAAGGTACACTTTTAGAGGGGTGTGTTGATTGGGAGCAGCAGGAAATATTGGGTATGCAAGGATTGAAGAGCTCATTTAGTTGGATATGTACTCACATTAGGATTAGGACGTGAAGGAGAAGAATCTGCAGCAGCAGAAGAATGTATGGATGGATTAAACCTTTAATAAGTTTGACTGCAGGTAGTTTCAGGATGTTGTGACTCTGTGAGAACCCAAGGGATGTTTGGACAGCTTTGGAAGACACGAGAAGATTAGAAGCAGGGGTAGATTAAGTAGAGACACATTTGTTACAAACTACTCGATATTTGAAATAAATTGATTGCAGTTTGCATCTTTAGTCTGCTTTATGTTGATTACATGAGTTAAGTAAATTGTCCACCTTGTCTTGCAACAGTGACTGGAAACCAGTCTGCTTTTGAGACCACCATGAGACCAAGTTGGGACAAAGAAAGATGGAAGCACCAGAAGTGACCAAGTTGGGACAAAGAAAGATGGAAGCACCTTCTGTGTCAGGGATTTGCTGCCCAACTATCATCAAGGTACACTTTTAGAGGGGTGTGTTGATTGGGAGCAGCAGGAAATATTGGGTATGCAAGGATTGAAGAGCTCATTTAGTTGGATATGTACTCACATTAGGATTAGGACGTGAAGGAGAAGAATCTGCAGCAGCAGAAGAATGTATGGATGGATTAAACCTTTAATAAGTTTGACTGCAGGTAGTTTCAGGATGTTGTGACTCTGTGAGAACCCAAGGGATGTTTGGACAGCTTTGGAAGACACGAGAAGATTAGAAGCAGGGGTAGATTAAGTAGAGACACATTTGTCACCCATGGGATGGTAGAACAATGTTGGAAGAAACAAGAGGAATGGGAACAGGTAGATTGAACGGAGACACATTTAGGAACTGGAGCAGGGAGCTGAAAGCCCGAAACAGTTCGCAATATAGGAATTTATCACTGGCCTGTTTGAAAAGAGTGAGGTAAGAGGTGGTGAAGTTGAGAGGGGCCGTAGGAAGTTTATTAAATAAACAGTGAGAAAAGCTTTATACCAGAATTTTGATGGGAGAGAAGCAAGGCTTAATAGTGAGGCCAAACTCAAATAATAGTGTTTGTGTTCCACAACACCATTTTAATGGTGTGTGTGGGCAGATAACTAAACTAAAAAAGATATTTTGGATAAACAAACAGAAAAATCAAGCTCCAACTTAAACACCTGTTGACTTTCATCAACAACATAAAAGTCAAACCGAAATTATACTGGGCTGGCACTTATAACATATGAAGCCTTGATCGGAACATGATGCAACTTCAAACCAAGACTTACATACAATATTGGGTCGACGCTTACAGAAGTTGAAGCCCTAACTAGGCGTCACCTTCAATACAAGCTAGAAGAAGTCAAAAACAATAAATTGTGGGCACCGTAACGCACCACAAGCGTGGGTATGCATGTGTGGGTGGGGGATAAAATAAACAAACCAAAACCTTATGAACAAAAACGGGTCAAAAACAATCAAACAGCCAATTAGAATCCATAAAAAATGAGACTCACAAGCTAGAAGAAATCAAAAACAAACCAAAAGGATCTAGCAAGTCAAATGGAATCGATGCCACAACAAAAAAAAATGGCTGAAGGACAAAGGACCTCAACAAAGACCAACAAAACATGTAGAAACGGGCCTAGAACACACCTAAAACCAATGATTTGCGAGACAATCCGAAGAAGGCAGCGTTTCGGCGGGTGACAGCTCGACTAGTTCTACTTCTTCTGACGGTGACTTCGTCCTAAAATCTCGCCTGAAATTTTTCTGGCAACAGCAGACAGGGGATGGTAGATTGAGCTTTGACCAACTACAGTCCTTCTTGTGATTGAAAACTATGAACAGGCAAAGGGTCGTGAGGGTGACTACAAATTGAATTCTGAATACCTAATATTCCCGAATTTTCAAGAACTCAACAGCCGAATAATGGTAAGACAAGTCATGGAGGATGGTACCACTCCGATACCATGTTGAAGTTGTGGAGTTTTAAATAAAAGGGCAATAGAAATATTAAGGACTTTATATATAATAATAGTGTTGCCAATAACAGACTTTGAAGATGATAATAGAGAGAAATGAAGAAGAATTGAAACTGAAACCAACAAATGAATACATTGGTGCATTTTAACCATCAGATCGATCGGCTAGTGTCCAATAAGAAATTTATCTTCATCAAGTTTCATATAAATGGAGTATGAGAGAAGGTAAATGAGGCACTTGTTAGAACTGTACGTACCGGAACAATGTTCAGTAATGGTGTGTTGATTGAAGAAGTATGGCTGGCATTTTGCAAAGGAAGGGAAGCATGTGTTATTGAAGTGGCCATTAGGATCAATTGGATCGGATACCATACTAGATTCAGAGATATTAGGGTTCAAAAAATATATTATCAATGAGAGAGAGTACAAAGACAGCTAAAGATAGAATTTGTGAAATTATAGCTGGACTGTACCCATAATTAGTTGGTTGGATAAAATCTATTATAGGACAACTACTTCTAGTAAGATGAGCGGTTTAACTACAGCCTAAAGTATGCCTTACAAGAAAGGATTATGAGCTAAAGCCATAGAACTTTAATTGTCGCAGAAAATAGTAGTAATGTGGATTTCAAACAACAGAATTTTGACATGGGACTTATTGTGGCAGTAGCTAAGCTCCTCCCACTAAACTGGCTTATAGAGAGAAAGGTATCCATTCTTTGTAAACTCTTTTTTGGCCTTATCTAGTCAGTGTTGGACTTAGAGTTTTTCCAATGCACCCTATTAAGCCCAACACTATTAGACTTGGAATGTGGAAAATAAGGTGAGTGGTTGGATGGATCCAAGGATGAGTGTTCATACCATCTTTGGGATCGAGAAACTTATGATTATTAAGATCGTGAAGCTATAGAGAGAATAAATGCACAATATTGTGATAGAAATGAACTGGTCGGTTACAATCTATAACATAACAGGTACACATAGTAAGCTGAGCACTTTAATTACAGTCTAGTTAGTTTGCTAGGTAATAACAGAAGGCTTAACTACGATCCATTGCATTCCACAGTAGAGTCAACATAGACAAAGAAAGCAGAAGAGATTAATCAAAGTTATTAATCATATTTTGTGGATTGAAAGGTCTAAAAGAAACGGTACAGCTTTAGTCAATATATGAAAGAGAAAAAAAAAGCAGCAGAGATTAAGTCAAAAAGCATGACTCATTCACAAATTAAGAAACATGAAATATCAAAGTACCAGTCGAAATGCTTCATTCCTTGCATGGTCGTCTCCATTTTGAGTGACATCTCGAAGACAATCTGGAAGAACCTTCCAAAATTCACCAACAAATTCAGAACCCTTTCGCCTGCTGTTTTGTAAAATATCATTTGCAAGGAACAGAAATGTCAATTTCTTTTCATGAGGAGAGCAATGGAACTGTTTATCCCACGTTTCGACAACTTGTTTGGCTTTGTTCATATGAAATATGCACCAATGTGACAAAGCTTGATCAAATTAAGGAAAATATCCAAGGAGTGGAGAATATTTATAAGCAATAAATATAGAGAACCCCCCACACCCACCCAAAGAAACAACCATATACATATTTACGTGTGAGCTTGTGTGTGAGAATGCGAGAGTCCAAGCACATATGCAGGGTGATGAACAAACTCAATAAATATGAAACAGATGAGAAAAACTGCTTGAACAATGCAATATTGAATACCAACAGGGGGAAAAAAACGTTATAGCCCACAAAACGATCTTGAAGGATACTCTCTATGCTTGTCTGCGAGCCATTCAGCTTGGCTAGTTTTTCCACTAAAATCTGTGAATTGAATGTGCTACCCATCTTTCCAATTAAAGTTGGCTTAGCTATCAACTAAAATTCCAACTTTAATCAAAACCTTTAAAAACGAAAACAAAGGAAACACAGACGTTAGAACAGAATAAAGCATCGTGAAAAAATCATATAAAAATATATGAAAGAGAAGATATATTTTGATTAAAACACAAACACACACGTAGCTGTTACACCCAAAAAAAAAAAACTAGATTGAGAAACCGGTCAAGAAGACAAATTTGACGGACTAGGAAATTATTCATAATTAGTTACATACATAAAAGAGTAAATAATTTATTTGTGGCCCCACAGTTCACAAGCAAATACACTACATTGCCAAGAATACAAACGAGTTTCGAATGATGGATAGACATGCCTAAAACGTATCTGATAAGTTGCTTTAAATTATGGATAGACATTAACACAGTTAGGGCATCAACGAGTTACAAATCAGTATTACAAATCTACAATTGGATTGAATTTAAGAAGATTTTTGGTTTGCAATAAACCACAAAAGGCATGAGAGAAGAAAAAGATGGTTGACATGATATGCATATTATGAAATTTAAAAGAAAAGCCTAGGCAATCAAAGCTATGAGACTAAGCAAACAATCCATAAAAATATTTAGAGAATGAATATCAAATTTATTGGCAGATTCATTTTAGCTTTATTCATTATAAATTTGCAATGTAAAATGAAACTTCTATACATAAATGTACGTTTATTTATGCCATAATCTAATGAGAGATTATATTGCCATTTATATGCAATCAGATACATGAAAAAAGATACAAAGAGACATGCACGCATGGATAAGTATGCTTCTAATATTAATAGCATCAAACCACTAGCATGAATGAATATGTGACAGACATATAAACATATAGCAATACTTATGACATCAAACAAGCATGGATAAGTATGTGACAGACACACTTTCTTGCCAATACTAGTGACATCAAACCACAAGCCACAACCAAAACACATAAAGCAGAAATACAAATGTAAAACATATAAGCAATAGAAACACAAGTAAATGTCTGCAGTTCTCAGATGCATCACATCAAACAGCTTCCGATGAAAACCAAATCCTCCACCTTACTACCTTAGCACATAAAGTTTCTAGTGAGCTTCTAAAAATTAACATCACGATGAAAATTATGCAAAACAATTATCTCTAGCAAAAAAAAAAAACTATAGACCATGAACTCACGTTTACAAATTTCATAATCAAACAACTAACATATACTAAGCAATGGATACATATGTGACAGACACACACTCAATATTAATGACACCAAACCAAAGTCCAAAACACATCAAGGAAAAAATACAGATAAAAACATTTAAGTAAAAGAAACAAATATATATGCCGCAAGTTCTCATATTCATCAGATCAACCAGCTCCAAATAAAAACAACATCATGATAACAACTATGCAGAACAATTATCTTAGACAAAAAATTTATAGACCATCAACTCACAAAGAAAGGCATCAAAAATACAAATTTCATAATCAATCATGAAAAAATAACACACATTCCATCATGATGACATACTCATACAGATATCATGAAGTAAAAGGTTCATGATCAATCAATATAGACTCTGCCTGCCATAAGCTCAGCAGAACTGCATCAGAATTCTCCAATCAAATAAACCATTAAGAAAACCCTAATCACAGCCAGCTGTCAGACGCATAAAATCAGATATTTCCGGTTGTAAATCAAATCGTCCAGTTAAAAAAATTTCCCGATAAACTTCATAAAATTCATATCAAAATAACAAATATCTGATATAATCATCTCACTCACACGAAATAAATAAAAATAAAAAATAAAACTTTTTACAATTACCAGTATTCTTTTAGTTACCATACACTATACACTCACACCTACAGGCATAAAGTACAAAATTCATAATCAATCAAGAAATCAACAATTGAGATTCAACATAATATTCATATTTATTAGGGATTAATTCCCATAAGTTCATCTGAACTATATCAGAATTCTCCAACCAAACAGTCTCATCATCAATCATCATTGAGCTTGTGAACCGATAAACAAATTGCACAAACTTAAAAATTAAAAAATTAAAAATAATCTCCTTGTTCATTCTATGATTAATTCAACAAAACAAAATTGTATTAAATTAAAAATCATATCACAATCAACCACAAAAAAAAAAAAATCAATCAATTGCAGCATATAAGAGTATATATAACCAAGTAAAAAAAAAAAGCTAAAACACGAAATTAAAAACGAAGAAACAATAATTGAAGAAAAATCAAAGAATTGAAGAGTGTACGTACATAAGAGAAGCAACGAAGAATGTTGGTAAGGCTAAGCAATTCACGAAAACAATGACGAATTGTTCCGAATTATTTTCCGAAGTGAGTCAGAGAGAAGTGAGAAGAAGAAGCATAGTTTGAGAGAGAAGAAGCAGTTTGAGTTTTAAGTTCGGCTTTTGCGTTTGTGTTTCACGGAGCGTACCTTTTATATTCTCATTCAATTGAAAGACACAACACACAACGAAACGCAATTAAACTGTATTCCTTTTTTGTTAATTCCTGAAATACCCTTGTGAAGTTTGTGAGGGAAGTACTTTTTTGTTGTGACTAACGGCGTCGTTTAGTGTAGGATTTTGATGTTTGGGGGAATGGGTTTTAGGGTAATTTGGGTATTGTGTGATGTCAGCACTGTTCTTTGCTAGCCTTTCACTCTTGAGATTTTAGTTTTCTTATTTTGACAAAAGTTTCTTTGGTTATTGACCCTGTGTTTTTTTGAGAGACTGAATTAAATTGAGATAAATGCTTATTTTGCTTTTTCTAAATAAAAAGTATATAAATATATATGATTTATTGACTTTATAAAACTTTATATATATATATATATATATATATATATATATATATATATATATATATATATATATATATATATATATATATATATATATATATATATATACTTTAAATTAATTATAATCTTTAAATTGAATTTAATATAATAATTAAATATTTTACAATATTAATGAATCATAATTATTTATTACTTTTGAGTTTAATTGATATACATCGATTATGTAAAAATATTTTATATAATAAATTAATCGCAATTGATTTGTATAAAATGTTTTAATTTTTTAAAATAATACATTTAAAAGATTACGTTTTATTGATGGTATAAAAACATTTACATCAAATTACATAACAATTAAATTTATTTTTTTACATTGATTGATGTTGTAGAAAAAAAATTAATACATTTATTATATTGGTTTAATTTATATATGTTATACTAAATTTATGGAAAATGTGTGTAATTTATTGGATAAATTTATATTTAAAATAGTGAGATAAATTTAAGTGTTACTCCCTCTAATATAAAATAAGTGTTATATAGTTAACACTTAAACATATTAAAAATATATATAATAAATAAAAAAGTAAAATTTCTTTGGTGCATTTTGTGCTAAAGAAACGTGCTTTTATTAATTTATTTTAATTTCTTAAAAAAAAAGAGAAATTAAATTATTAATAGTATGTTCTAATTATTATTAATTAATTTAAAATAAAAGTGTAATAAATATAAAGTGTTAATTAAAAAATAAATTTTAAAATTGTGAAGGAAATCAAAAGTTACATTTATTTTTGTTGAAAGTAATTCTTTGTGTTGAAACAGTTTATTTGACGCAGATAAGGGAGTGTCAAAACAGTGTATATATCGAAGGAAGATTGTCCAGTCGAAGTGCTTGTGGATCGAAGCAAGCTATACACACATATTTGATTTATTTTAGATTTAGATATATTTTATTTAGATCTAAAATTGATATTTTTGGCTTTTATAGTTTTGGGTTGTGGCTAACCTAAATCCATAAACAGATGGAGTAACCCCTAGTTTTGTAATCAAGTCAATTAAGTTGTATTCACAGAATTTACAGTTGCAAGTGAATACTAAAATTTTCCATAGTTTGTGGGCAGAGAGAAACTCTGTAGAAAATAATTGTCTTCTTTCTTTTCTTTTCTCATTATTCATTGTTATTGTGTGATGATATCAGTCTTGTTCATCAAGATTTGTAGGAATCCGTCATAGATATTTGGTGAATTTCCAACATCTGGTATCAAGAGCTCGGTTTCGATTCAAGGGAAGTATCGATCAAGAACGATTGAGGAAGAAAGAGAATTCACAATGGCGAATAATGGGAATGCAAATTATCCAGCAACTCTACCAATTTTGAAAGTAGACAACTATGAGAATTGGTGCAAACAGATAAAAGCTTTGTTCAAATGTCAAGGTCTTTGGGATCTTGTAAAAGATGGATTCGAAGCGCTTGGAGAAAACGCTTCAGAAGAAGAAAAGAAGAAACACACAGAAATTGAGAAACTGAGTTCTAAAAGCACTCATTATAATTCATCAATGTGTGAGTCCAGAAAATTTTGAAAAAGTGAGTGATTCAGAATCTTCAAAAGAAGCTTGGGACGTACTTGCGAAGTCTTTTAGTGGTGCAGAAAAGGTGAAAGAAGTGAGGTTACAAACTCACAAGAGAACGTATGAATTGCTTCAGATGGAAGATAGTGAGAGCATATCTGATTTCTTCACTAGGGTTACAAAACTAGTGAATCAAATCAAGGTATGTGGAGAAACATTAACAACAAGAGTTGTTGTTTCGAAGATCTTGATATCGTTGGCTCCTAAGTTGGACCACATGGTGGAGGCTATATGTACGGTAGAAATGTTTAATACTAAGCCATTGGATTGACTAGACTTACACAAATCAAAATAAAAATCGCCATTGTGCTTTATTGTTTCCAAAGGAATGGGAAAAGAGCGAATAAACCAAAAGAGGGAGAAAGATTCAAGATAAGGGGGTTGGTTATGTAATGGGGAGGTATTAGCACCCTAAACATCTACGGTACTCCGCAGGAACCTCTTTGTAAAAATTTGTATATTTTGGCTATAAAATGTTGTATGAAAAAATAGATGGTGGAGGTGAGAAAAGAAAT